TGTTTCTTTTTGCTTGCATAAGATCACCTAGGCTGATATTTGAGCACTGGGAATACAAACAGAAGATCCAAATTTGCTCCTGCTCCCTGGCATGTGTTAATATCAAGACTGCAGTTTGAGATGTCATCAGAATTAAGCATTTAATGTGACTGTGAGTGGAATGCATGGGGTATGTAACACTGTGATTTAGGTATATTGTAGTGCAAATAACATTCAGTGTGTTGGATGCAGCAAGGAATGCTTTTCTGTTAGCTGCTCAAGGTAGATGTTCTGATGTGTGAAGAATTTTACATCTGAAAAACGCTATGACTGATAATGAGAATAAGGAACAATGGTGCTGTCTCACCAACCAAGATGAAAGGAAGCAGGTTAACCAACAGAGTAATGGGAAAAATTGTGCCAGACTTTGCAGGTCATCCTCAATAACTCTCTTCTGTGATTTGCTTGCTCTTGTTAGGTATGCTAGAATGCATCATACACTGTCTGCTAACCACGCTAGGAATGTCCCAGGCCCTTGTAGTCTTTCTTCATGTCAGTCTCAAAAAATCCTCCAAATATTCTTCCCTTTGAATTAATTCCTCACTGCCTCTGTTTGCATGGAATGTGAGTGATATGAACTGAACTATTGACTCATCAATGTGCTATGCAGGGAGGGCATTTTTGATTTTATTTTTATTGCTTGTCACTTGAGGTCACTCCCTCAACCATTTCTTTCCAGTTAAATAAATCCTCTGAATGTTTTCCTCCTTGTTGGATTTCTGAGCTATGATGCCCAAACATTTGAACATTCATTTTCTTAGATTAAATAGTAACTATTTACTGTTTATGCTTCTATGCTCAGAGCAAACTGTTCTGTATCCTCTGTACAATCCAACAAGTAATGTTTGTTGTGACTGAGCACTTTTCCCTTGAATCAATATAAAAATGTTACTCACAGGTGCAGCAAGTTAGCCTCACAAAAGAAAAGAATAGTCTTATTGCTGCTAGAATGGGTAGAAATACTTGAATAGATAATAGTTGTCTCTGGTCCTTAGTTCACTTTTGGAAAGTATCACCCCACAACAAATGAAATGGAGCCAACGTAACCATTTAAAATAGTAAAGTAAACAGTTCATGTTGTAGTCAAGATAATCCTTAATTTCTGCTGCTTATCTGAGATCTGCCCTGCTGATCTGATGGGAGGATTTAACCTTCCTGAAAGCTGTTTTCAGTATATGTGCTTGAACTGGGAAGACCTCTTTGCACCTGCTTTTCAGAGCCCTTTCTCCTAGGAGATTAATGCTGCTATGCCCCTTTTAGAAAGGAAAACCTCTGAAATATGGATTATTTTTAGAGAGCTATACTTGGAATATTTTGCTACAATACAGCTTAAGGGAAGTACTTTAAAAATAATGCCTATTTAAATTATCCTCTTTTTTTCTTTCCTGAAGAACCTTGTTACCTTAAATTCAAATAATTTTTGTCTTACAAAAGAACATGTATAGTTGTGGGAATTAAAAAGAGAATAATTGGCTTATGGTAACTGCTGGTTGTGTAACCTACTCAAAATAAAAGCTATGGGGAATTTTAATTTCAAATTTCTTTGCTCTGTGTGGAAACCATTTTGTAACTTTCTGTTTCTCTTGGGATACTGTGTGAAACACAGAATGGCAGAGCAGATGGCGTGTCTTCTCTTTCCAGAGAGACAAGCAATATCACTGTGTTCAAAGGAGAAGTCTAAAGGGGGTTTCAAGGGATATGGGAAAGCCCAGTCCAACATCTGGATCAATACAAAAATCAGTGTCAGTTTAACAGGTTTAATGTATAATGCTTTCCCAAGCAAATGGTGGTGGTTTTGATGCTGTTTTTACATTTCTTATGGCTTATTTTAAATTGGGGAAAAAAAAAAAATCTGTCTTCAGATTAAGAGTCTCTGGTATACCTGTGCCAGTGGGAGGAGGGGAGAGAATCAGTGGGTGAAATGTCTCAGGCTTAGTCATAGTAGGAGCAAGGAGTGATGGCCTGAATTATGCAGCAAAAGTTCTCAGAATAGTGAATGAGTCACTATTGCCCTTGAACTTTCTGGATCTGAAACTATATTTATCATTTTGCATTGTTCCCAAGCTGTGTAGCTGCAGTCCCACACACAGAGCAACTTGCATTTTCTGCCCTCACCAGCTAAAAACACAGACAAGGGAATTTCCAGGGAGAGAAGTCGAGGATCGATTTCTTTAAGTGAGTTTTAAGGAAAGCTGTAATGAAGAGTACCTGCAGTAGGAGATGACTAATGTAGTAATATGAAGGCAATACTAAAAGGTTAAATACAGGAATAAGGCAATAGTGTACAAAATTTTTTTTTTTTTAATTTAAAAAAAGGAAGTGAGTAAAATTAAAGAGTTCCTGTAGGGTCAAGTATCACGGGGTACTGTTCTGAGAGGCAAATATTTTTGTGAATGTAGTAGCCTTTTCTTTTCCTTCCTACCACCGTATCTGAAATGTTCTGAACAGAAACCAGAGCACTGAAAGGAAAGATCCAGATCATTACATTTTCATTCTTCCACTTCTTCTCCCCCTACAGTATAAGAGGTGAATTGGACAAGTTTTTGCACCAGGTTGTGGCCAAACAGCTGGCTTAGAAAAGAGTGCAGCTGTCATACTAACAAACCACCTTGGCACTAAAATTCTAAATCTTGTAGTGTCTGCAGAACTGTGTGTTCAATTAGTGACCAAATGCACATTCTGGAAGAGACAGCACTCACAGTCTCTGGTCTTAGAACAGCAGACTCTAGAAAAAATGAAAAAGGTGCTTGAGAGACTTCTATCTTTAGAGTATTTTACGTAACACAATTTTTAAAATGAGAAATATTATTATTGGGCAGCAGGATAAAAGAGGCAGTATTGGCTTGCCAAAAAGGACTTAGCAAATGGAAATCCAAAATTAGTTCCAGGAAATATAATAGGTAACGTAATAAGTACGTGAGAAATGCAGGTACTTTGCATTTTTGTATGTGAAGTTACTGCAGCACAGGATTACACATCCCACACTGGTATTTCAAGTTTCCTTGATCAGTGGGAAGCAAAACCATTGGTGTGTGGAGGCTCATTTTATAGGCATAGATTATCAGCTATCTTTATATCTTCCTCCAAAAGCCCTCATGGCTGTTGTGACAATTTATTAGCATAGGGAATTCCTGTGGGTATTTGTGCTGCTGGGTAAGTGGAAGCACAAGGCAAGACTACTCTCCATGTCTATTTGTAGTTATCTCAGAGTGCACGAAAAATGGGTAACAGAACCTTCTCTGTTTTATGGGGTCTTTAAGAGGAAGTTACTATGCCTAAACAGCTGAAACTTTCAATCTGGGGGGTGGTGGAAAACAAAATATCGGTATCTTCAGAGTAAAACATTTCAAATAAAGTGTGCAGCAAGATCATTTTAACTCAGAATTGCAGCTTTTCCGCCCCCACCTCTGCCAAACATAATAAACATAGCCGATGAAATAAACCTCAATGCATGGGGAAATTGTTCAAAAGGAAATTTAGCAGTAATAAACTCCCAGCTCCACAAGTATTTACATTTTTGTTCCGAAAATTAAGGTTCCTAAACTGAAAAGACTAGGGACAATTAAAAAACTGGTTTGCATGTTGACATTACTGAGGAAGTAGGATGACAGGAAATTTTGTCTTCTACTGTTACCCATAATGGATAAAATTTGCTAATATAGATTTGTACTCATTCAGGACAAATTTAGCAGTTGGTGATGTGAGCAAAGTTTCACCAAGTAACTGCAAAATCTGTGACTCCCAAAATGCCATATCCTGACAGCTGTGACAGAAGCTTAAGTGTATATATAAAGAGTGACATTTACACCTTGTGCTGAAGCCCTGCAGTTATTTTCTGCAACTTTTCTCTGCTACATTTTTTCTTTTAGGACTTCACAACCATGGGTCAGTGGCTCCCAAACTGGGACCTGTAGGTGAGCAACAGCAAAATTTCCACACTCTGATTAAATGTTTGATAATGTGAACATGAAGAATGGCCGCACCCAGTTCACCTAGGCAGCCAGGTGGTTGATTTTTGTGGGTTTGTGTTTGGTTTATTTATTTTTCTCAAAACCCAAAAACTTGAGACATTTGACCAAGCCTTACAGCCTCCAGAGTAAGTTTTAGCAATGAGCTATGCAGTTACCCTTTTATTGAAAGTACATGGAAACCCCTTAGGAGCTCTGCTCCTTGCCAGAAGTGTTTGACCCCAAAAATGTGGGAACAACCATTTCTTCTGAGTGCATTTCCAAGGGGCTCCTGTTCCCTGAGCCTTTTCCTAAGGTGTCTGGTGGGTGATGGATGCAGGCTCTGTTCATCCTCCCCTCTCCTCTGGGCTGAGCACTGCAGTTGTGTCAGCAGAGGTTTAGGTTGGATATTAGAATATGTTTCACCCCGAGGATGGTCGGGCATCCCCAGGGAAGTGGTCACAGCCTGACGAGAGTTCGAGAAGGGTTCGGACAAAGCTCTCAGGCACAGGGTGAGAGTCTTGGGGTGTGCTGTGCAGGGCCAGGAGCTGGATTCCATGGTCCTCGTGGGTCCCTTCCAACTCGGCGTATTCTGTGCTCCTGCCGGCACGGCGGAGGCGGTGCGCTTCGTAATCAAAAACATACAGTTTTAAAAAATGGCCATATCCATGGCAACCTGAACCCGACACCGCCGCAGCCCAGCCCGCTCCCAACGCCTTTACACGTCGCAGAGCGAGGGAGGGAAGGAAGGAGGGAGCAGAGGAATGAGGGAGGGAGGCGGCGCCCCGGGGCCCCCCTCAGCGCCCCGGGTCCGTCCGCTTGGGGCGCTGCTGCTCCCGCCCCGCCGGCCGCGCGCGACACCAGCGGCCCCGCGGGGAGACTCGGCCCGCGCCGGGGGCGTGGCAACAGCCTTGAGTGACGTCCTTAATGACCAATAGGCGCACCGCAAGCCTGACAGTTAAGTCGGTTCGGCCAATGGCGCGCGGCGGCGGGCGGGCGCAGCGCTGTGCGAGAGGCGCGGCCGGACGGCGCGGCGGGCAGTCGGCGCGGTGGCGCAGGATGATGCGGCTGTGGCGCTCGGCGCTGCTGCGGGAGCTGCTGCTGCTCGGCCCGCCGGGGGCGGCCGGCGGCGGGGCCCCGGCCCCGGCACCCGCCGCCGGGACCAGGCGCCTCCAGCCGCCGTTCGCCGCTCTCGGCGCTAGCCCGCCCGCCGCCCGCCGCGGCCCGGCGGCGCTGCCGGCAGCGCGAGGTCTGTGCACCCGCTCCGAGGGTGCCTTGGAGGAGCCGGGGAAGGGGGCGCAGGCGCCGTCGCCGACTCCCGGCGAGCCCCCCGCCGACAGCGGCCACAACAATAACCACGGCGGCGGCAGCAAAGAGATGGCCGTAGGCGGCGGCGGGGAGAAGTGAGTGTGGAAGGGGCGGCGGGCGCGGGGGATGATGCGGAGGCGCCATGTGAGCGCCGCCTCCCCCTCGCACGCGTGGTGCCTGCGGAAGGGGCCGGGCCGCGCCGGGCGGGCGCTTCCCCGGCAGGTGCGGGGATCCCGGGGCCGCCGGGTCCATCCCGGCCGTTCTCCGGGCGGTGCGGGCCCCGCTGCCGGCGGCTCGGAGCGAGAGGGAGGCAGGCGCACACGCGTGGCGGGGGCGTGCGCGCCGCTCGGGGCTCAGCTCGCCGCGGCGTGCGGCCCGGACAGTGCCCCGGTACCCCCGGCCGTCCCTCCCGCCTGGTGCGGGGGTGCCGTCCCTGGGGAGGCCCGGCACAGGTGGTAGCGTGGCTTCGGTAGCGCTTCCACTTGGCTAAAAATATTTTTCAAGAGGAGCGAAAGCTGTGTCATCTCGCATTAATTATTAGAGGCGGTGTGCACGGTGCGTAGTGCTGCCTCGGAGGTTTTGCAGCAGTGTCTTCTCCGCGGATGCGTCCCTGTGTAACCTGCCCTAGGGTGACCCCGCCTTGGCAGGGGCATTGGGGACTGGGTGATCTGCAGAGGGCCCTTCCAGCCCTAACTATTCTGTGATCTAGTGCAGCCAGGGACAGATCCGTCTGTGGTGAGTACAGATGCTTATAGGTGCTGCAGGATATGTGCCTGTGCCAAGGTCCTTGCTTGTCCCTTAGAGACAAAGGTATGTGCAGGTAGTACAATGGTAGGGCTGTATGTTTCTATTAAGTTAATATTCCTTTAGTCAGAAACGGAAATACTCCTTAAAAAAAAAAAACACCCAAAACCCGTGGGAGACAGGTGTATCAGCTCCAGTTTTTACACCTGGCAATGGATCCCAGAGGTTGAGTATAGTAATGAGGTAAATGGTTTGACAGAGCATTCTTTTCTGTTAGTCTTCAGCATTATGCAAGTCTTGATTATTCATTTCCTAGCATCCCCTGTCTTGACAGTCTGTACATTGGCTGGTTGAATCTGGGTACATTTAGAATCTCAGAAAACCTTTTACAAGAAGTTTGATCGCTTAACTGCCAGCCCCATGAAGACTTCTCCTTTGTATATGTTTGAAATGTACCCCATGGCATTTCTGTAGGCACCCTGTGCTCTGATTATGGGGTGGCATAATTAAAATTAAACCCAAGCTGCTTTCCCAGGCTTTTCTATGCTTATTACCTGGATGAAAAGAGCAAATGACAGAAGAAACAGGGCTGAGAAAGGAGTACCTTGTTTTGACACTGAGCAAAGTCTCTGTTAGTCTCATGCTAAGAGGAAGTCTGGGGAAGATTCCACAAAGCCAGTCAGGAAGCCTTCAGCCCTTAGCTTGTTAATAGTTCTGCTTTTGAACTGTGGTTTGTGGGGTTTTTTTAGCATGAACTTCAGTATGGCAGGTGGGGAGAGAGGCTGTGACCTTGTTCTTTCCTGCTTTTTCCCTCCAGATGCATCAGCTACTCAGCCTGGTTCAGTGGGGTACAGCCTGCTCTAAAGGCATCACCAGTTACTTCTGCTGTCAGATGCCTTAAAAAATGCATGCCCGTCAGGTTATGTAACCCTGCAATATAATACACAATCATAATGGGTAGTATTTCTAAATTTATACCCTTCTTCAACAAATATGAGGTCTCCTCTTTGAATTAGATAATGTTTTGGAACAAAAAAATATCCTTCTGTAGTCAAATAGGTGTGGTTTATAAAGCCTGCACTTCTGTTTTCAAGCAGAAATACAGGCATAGAAAACTTTGGAAAAAACCAGCATGCCAGCTGTGATGGGTTTTTGAGGATATTGCAGAGGTGATTTATTGAAGAGGTAACATTTTCTTAAACTGAGCTGTTATTGGCTTCCTACAGCTAGCATCAATTAGGGCAATTCTTTAATTTCTAACATGTGTGGTAAAGCTATGTAATCACAAACCAGTTAAACAATTTAAATAATTTTTGGCTTTTGACAAAAGGATGTATTTGAAAGTCATATGTTTGTTCTTAAAATCTTACTGCAAAATGAACAGGGAGAAATTCTATAAAACATCTAGCATGTAGTTACAAACACAGAAAAAGCTAGAAACTTTCTTTTCAATTCAGGTTGTGCAGGAGTTCCTGTTGGCACATTGGTCAGGCTACTAGATACTTTCATTTTTACTTTTCTTGAAGCAGAACTGTGAAAGTCTTCCTTCAAGCATTTGTCAATGGTACATTCCATGTGGAAGTCATTGCTATATTAAGACAGAGTGCAGGCTTGAGAAGAAAAGTGAGGTTCTTCAAAAGACAGGTGTCTGAACTGCACTGACAACTGGGCTAAGTCTGTGTCCTGCTGATTCCAGTGCTTTGCCATCCATAGTGTCTTAACATTTGAGAGGTGTTTGGCAAAGGGATTGTGGACTCAACTGGCAATAGCCTTTTTCTTTTTTAGTTAGTGTGGGGGGACTTTTTTTTTCTATTTGATTACAAGGTCATGGTTCTGGGATACTGAAATAACCCATGATGTCAAAAGACAGCAGTAAGGTTTTCCTGTTTATTTGCTTTCCTAACACTCCTTGTGTACAGAGGAGGAGTTGCAAGTAAAAGCCTAAAATGTTCTCTGCAAAGATTACACAGAAATTTAGAACAGTTCAAGTCCTCTTAGTGAGGATAAATTATGAGGTCTGTGGCTGATGAAATAACTAGTATCCCATTGCATAACCAGATCCTCTGGTGCATTTTTTTCCATAACATCTTCCACCACCTCCTTATCCCTGCTCTCCAGCCTTCACACTGTGTATCCAACTGAAACAATGTATTTTGGACAGGAAAAATAATTGAGCTTAAACTGAGAGTGGTCACAGACCAGTAAATTTAATTAATAGGAATTGTGGATTAAAACACAATAGTATCTATGCTCATGCCTCAGTTATTAAAACACAGTAGCCTAAGACACTCCTCAATTACAGATGTGTATAATATTTAATACCCTGTGCTCCTGCTTTCAGTGTAACTGTTCTTCATTTGTTTTTACTTTCAGTGTAAGAGTTCATCTTGTACTAGACACTAAAGAGATGAAATAGTTTATCTTAGTAGAAGCTATTTCTAAGTTAAAAATGCCTTGATTAAGGGGAGAGGGAAAGCAAAATGTGAGTGACCCTAACTTTTGAAAGCTAAATTGGTCACTTTTTTAGCTAAATTGCAATAGTGCTAGACACTGGTATATAGAATATCACAAAACAGTTAAATGAAGTGGTTTTGTTTTGTTTTTAATGACAAGGGAGTGGTAGTGCTCTTTTTTAAGGGCAGGGATAAATTCTGGAGATACTTTTAAAAATTAATTTGCTTTTACAGACCAGATAAGAGAGGAATAACAAGTAACCAGGCTGTGTTTCATTTTGCTGATACTTCTGATGGAGTGTGGATACAATACTCAGCCATGTGAGAAACAGAAGTGCACTTTTATTAGACCTTTCATGACTTCTGTAGAGGTCAAGGTTTTGAAGCTAGAGCTTGTTTTTTTTTTACCAGAAGCACTCTAGCTACTAAACATGTCTATCTTTGATCTAAGTTTATAAATATGTAGTTTGCTCTTGAACAATGGTAGTTCTTGGGTAAATAGCTGCCCACCTCTGTTATGGGAGCAGTGTCTCACTGTAGGAGTGGACAGGGAGCAGTTGCTGAGTGACTTGACAAGTGTTGGAGATACAACCAAGATACACAGCATGTGTAGTATGGTGACAGCTTCTTCACAGTGCCTGTCTTAGGTAGAGTGGCTGCTGACTGTGACTTGCAGCTTTCATAGAATCCCAGAATAGTTTGGGTTGGTAGAGACCATTTAAAGGTCACTTAGTCCAAACCCCTCTGCAATGAGCAGGGACATCTTCAACCAGATCAGGCTGCTGAGAGGCTCATGCAGTCTGACCTTGAATGTCTCCAGGGTGGGGACCTGTTTCCAGGTCTGGTCGGCCTGTTCCAGCATTTCACTACTCTCACCATAAAATTTCTTCATTATCTCTAATATAAAGCTGCCCTCTTTTAGTGGAAAACCATTATGCCTCATCCTGTTGTGACAGACTCTGATAAAAACCCCGTCCCCATCTCTCTTACAGACTCACTCTAGGTACTGAAAGGCTGCACTGAGGTTTCCCAGGACCCTCCTCTTCTCCAGGCTGAGCAACCCTGATTCCTTGAGCCTTACCTCCTAGGGGGACGTGCTCATCCCTCTGTCATCTTGGTGGCTTCCTCTGGACCTGCTGCAGTGGGCTGATGTCATTGATGTGCTGAGGGCCCCAGAGGTGACTGTGGTACTCTGTGTGGGGTCTCAGCAGAGTGCAGTAAAGGGGAAAATCCCCTCCTTGACCCCCTGCCCATGCTGCTCTGCACACAGCCCAGGACATGTTTGGCTCCAGTGCCTGTGCCTGGGTTGTGTCCAGCTCTTCCACCAGCACCCACAGATGCTTCTCAGCAGGGCTGTTCTTCTCTTCTTCCCCTGGGATGTGTTGATTGCAGGAGTTACCCTGGCCCAGGTGAGGACTCTGAACTTCACCCTGCTGAGCTTCATGAATTTCACATCTGGACCAGCTTTTTGAGTGCATCCAGGTCCCTCTGGATATTGGCCCATCCCTCAGGCTTGTCACCTGCACTTCTCAGCTTGGTGTCTTTGGCAAACTTGCTGAGGCTTCATTTGATCCCACTGTGGGTGTCATTGATGAAGATCTTCAATGGTCCCTGAGGGACCATTGTTTGTGACAGTAATTGTAACCTCATTTTTATGACTGGTGTCATATTTGTTACTAATGCCGGAAACTATTACTAGCAATATCATATCTGTATATCATTTGTTGTTCTGCAAATCCTGTTCTGCATTTTGGCAGTTCCATCCTGAAGTACAGAGTAAGAATCTTCCACATTATTTGAAATTTAATATTGATTTTATCCTAGAAATTCAGCATTTGTTAAAATTAAGTCGCCCTTCAGAATCTGGTGTAGGTGTTGTACTGATGCAAAAGGAGGATCTGAAAGAAGGACTGCAGAGTCCTTGTGCTTGGAATTCCTATGTTTGCTTTTCTTTGTATTTAAAAAACCAGTCCACCAGTATTGTAGTCCACAGATTAGTATACTACCAAAGAATTCTAGTTGTTCAATAGTCTAGTGCTTTTTTTTTTTTTTTTCCAAGAAGGTAAAGAAAAACCAAAAGTCATTATTCGTGGAATCAGGTAAACTGGAATTTCCACTTAATTTGACTGTGAAAATTGCAAGTTCCCTGACCTGAAAAACAGCTTTTTACCATGTGTGGAACAGAATTATCTTGCTAAGTGTGTTCACAGTGCCAAAACACATCTTTTAGGTTAAGCAAACATCAGTTACTGACATCACTGATCTGATAAAGTGCAGAGCAAGCCTTTTCACCCCTATTTAGCTGATAAACTTTACCAAAAGATGGACTATTTGACAAGGAGCAATTTTCTGTAAATATATTGAATGTCATCCTTTTTGCTTTGGTCGTCTGTGCAGCTCCATTGTTTAATTAGGCTGAGTGACCCAATATTGAACAACAGCAGATGTGAAAGATATGAAAACCACGTTGAGAGATTTTCTGCTGTGAGAGGTGCACGTCTCTAAAACAGATTAAAATCTTTTGAAGAGGCAGGTAAAATCTTGGTTAAATGGCTGAAGTATTTTTCTGCATCTTTCCAGATAGAAATTCCATACTTGGAACAGCTGTAAAATTGAGTAATTGCTCAGAAATTTGTAATTAAATAGGTTATCAGTTAACATTTCTCAGTGTGTTTGCTGGCTGGTTTTGCCAGGGTGAAATAGGAAAGTTTCCTCTGCCAGACCTTAAGCAGTCCAGAAATGACTTGTGTAGCAGAGACACTGCTTAAAACATGAAATGTCAGCATTTTGGGGAGCTCAGTTGAATGCTTTGTGTAAATGATGAATATGTAGGGGTGTAGATGATGTAGCTTAGCATAACTTTTAGAATTAGTTCCCTACAGAATTAGGATGCAGACATCCTAAAGCTTTAGTTGCTGTGTTGGAAGTCCTGGTTCTGTTGGCTTGACTGGACATACTATCCCCAAAGGGTTGAAAATGAAACATGCTGCCTGGAAGACCTGAATTTTCTTTAGCAAAAGGGCTGCTCAGTAATTTGCTTGAGGTAGTTGCAAGCGTTTGTCTTGGTTCAATTGCCAGCCTGTCTGTGCATTAGTCAGCCAGCATAATTTAAATTAAAAAAAAATCTAGACTGTAAGACAAGGAAAGTTCTGTTCGCTTACAAAGCTGTCTTCTGTTCTTGGTATGTAAGTACAGGGTTTTAAATTGGAAAATGAGAGGTGATATTTTTTACTACTGGTTTTCACAGCTAGTTACAAGGAAAGGAGGGAGGCAAGGCCAGTCTAGAGGTTGTCTTAAATTTATAAGGGTATTTGGGTGCAATCAGATTTTTATTTAAAATAATCATAAATCTGACTTGTGTAAGTATTGGCAGAGGAGAGGATTAAACGTCAGCCAGTAGGATTGCATTGGCCTATCTAGCCTCTGTGCTGAGCTGGAGTATTTTGTTTTTGCAGTTGTAACCCTGAGTTCTGTTATTCAGAGAATTACTAATCTCTTGAAAACTGCAGTGACTAGAATTTGGACCCACTTTTTCTAAACACATGCATAAATGTATAAAAATACATAAATTGCCACTGAGCATTCTAGTTTCAGGCAATGGTTTCTCTATTGCTGTATAGTAACAAAGTATTGCCACTATTAATAGATTATAAGATAGACCTTTAAAACTGCTAGTTAAAATAATGTAAGATTGCATACTCTACATTTAGTTACTATCTACATATTTATTTCTTTTGGTTTGATGTGTTTTTGTTTGTCCAGCATTGGAACATTGGCTTTTTTGTCTGGAAACAAACCTGGGCACTTCAGGTGACCAAAGAATCAGAATCCCTTTGCTGTGACTGCCCCTCAGTCTGAAGTGCAGTGGGCCCTGCTTACAGGGCAAGTGTAAAGACTGAGGCTCCTGCCTGCTGCAGGGTGCTTTGGAATATCAAGGAATATTTTTAGATTTTTACAGGTTAAATCTGTAAACTTCAAAGGGAAGGGAAAGCTGTCAGTACTACAGCTTTCTGTCTTAGAAGAATCTGAATGCTTTGTGAGGTAGGTTTCCTTCAGATTTCACGTGAGATGGAGATGCAGGTAATGAAAGCCTGCAGGCGCTGGGGAAGCACATCTCAGAGTGAAGTAGGTAACACCTGGGATCCTGGGAGAGGGGTGTGTTTGCACTGATAAGCACAGTGACCATTAAAGGTGCATCTACACTGGGTTTACTTAGCTAAGTAGGTGTGATGAGAGTCACTCCTTCTGCTTCAGGTGCTCGATTATGCTGCAGATGGCTTTGCTTGTCTCATGGTAACTGATGGGGCTTACATAAGCTTCTAGAAGGGTAAGGACTTCAGGACTCCTCTGTGGAGTCCTGAAAATGGGATTGTTTTGAAGAAAATATTACACATTTATCCTCTCCTTCTCTTGCCTGTAGAACAGTTGGGTTCTGTTGCTCTACAACTTCATTATGAGGCATATACATCCTGGAATCTTATAAATAATTTATCCTCTGCAAGTGACATACCTATCCTTGGTAACATCAAAAAGAGGGATATGTGATTAATCTGCTCCCAAGAAAACCTAAATATAATCTTAGTGGTGAATGTGTGACAGTAAAAATATGACTGAGTTGCAGTTAAGAATGTCTGCTGCTGTAAAATCTATGTATGCTGCTTGTAACATTACCATTTTTTTTCTACTTGAAGTTTAACTAAGCTTTGTTTTCACTGATGAAAACGTTCTTTGAAATTAGTGGTGGCAGTGAAAATGTGTTTGCCTGAGGATAATACAAAAACGTGTATAAATAAAAACAGGCACTAAAATAATCTATGTGTTTTTTTTTCTGTTTTCCAGTAAAATAAAACAAGGTCTCCTTCCCAGCTTAGAAGATCTGCTTTTCTATACTATTGCAGAAGGACAAGAAAAAATACCAGTTCATAAATTCATAACTGTAAGTTTACTGTTCCAAAGTGCTGTATGAAAGCTAACTACTGCAAGGTTATTTTAATATTTTAAATGCAAGAATGCAAAGAAAGAATTTCTGTTGTACGTGTTTATCTGGAAGGAATGTATTGTTCCCCCCAGTGATGTTTCTGTAGTTAAGTAAGAGAATGAGTATATTCATGTTATTATTCACTTCTTTGATGTGCAAAAGAGTATGCTTGAAAGCAGCTGTGCCTGTGGCATAGCTCAGTAGTATTTGTGCTTGTGTAAAATCTAGTTGGACCACTGGATTTCAAATAACATTAATGTTTTGACATAAAATGCAGCCAAAATGGCCAAAGGAAATTGCTAAAGAATCAGTGAAGTGTCACAGTGTCTCTGTTGATGATGCAGTGGCAGATCTCTTACATTGATAAATGCTGAGCAGTAGATAACTTGATTGTAATAGCAATCTTTTCACTTATTAATTGCTTTTTTATTGTAATAGGCACTCAAATCTACAGGATTACGTACGTCTGATCCTCGATTGAAAGAGTGCATGGATATGCTGAGACTGACTCTTCAGACTACTTCAGATGGTGTTATGCTGGACAAGGACCTTTTTAAAAAGTAAACTTCCTGTCAATTATATAACTGTATAATTCTGAATGAATGCTGTGTGTTACTGAGGGTGTCTTAAGGAGAGACACGAGGTATATAAATCAATTAGAATGGGAGTCAAACACACCCTCCTGATGCTCTTTTGATAAAAGTTGTTCTCAGATTTCATGCAGCAGACAGAGGCTGTGTGATCTCCACAAGAGCTTAATGCGTCAGTGTTGTTTGCATGTGTGTCTGACCCCATACTGCAGCTCCTGGTCAGGTGCCAAACAAAATTAATTGATGCAGCATGAAGTGTGTAGTATGATTACATAAAACTGCTCTCTCTCTGTGTTGTCAGTTTTTAATCAGAAGTTCAGGATGCCGCTTCTGTGTGGCAGGATGTTCAGAAGGATGTATGTAATTCTCAGAGTGAGTGTGAGGAAACAGTGATGTTAAATTTCAGGGTAGGTGGAGGTGAGAGGGGTTAGGATTGCTGACATTGGTCTGTTTTGGAAAAGATCTGTGTGCTGTATTTTAGTGATGCTTTTGTTTGGTTATTTTTAGCAAAGTCTGTAGTCAGCTGAAAGTATAAGCACTGTTCACGTTGTCTTCTGCTCATTTCAAGCATCCTTCTTTGCTCCTCTACTTTACAGCTTTTATGTGCCAAAAGACTGGAAATGTTGAGGCTCTTAAATTTTGAAATGAAATTTTTAGACTGTTTTTCTGTCTGCATTTTTATTCCATTTGCAGGGTAAATCGTAATACCTAAAACTTTCTTGCACATACAATTTTCTAAGTACATATATATATATATATATATATGTAAAATACATGTATTTTGTGTACATATAGGTATATTAAATATATACCTATATGCATATGCTATATATATATATACATATATATTATATATATATTATAATGCATATAATTATATATATTTATATATATAAAAATATATTTATATTTATATATAATATATATAATATATATATTTATATATATTATAATGCATATAATTATATATATTATATAATATATATATTATATATATATATTTTTATATATATATATATATATATATATAATATATATACCTATACAGCATATGCTTATGCTGTACTATGTATTGACATAGCTTATGTAAGCATAAATATAAATATAAATTTTTTGGAAATAGATTGAGAAAAAGCTAATGTCTGTGTGTGCAACAAAAAAGCCAGTCAACTCCTTAAGCAGATGGACCTTTACCTTGCTTTGTTAAGGCCCTGCATGGACTAACTTTACTCCTGTGTTAAGTTCTGGACCAGGTCTTAATTTTTTAATTGTCAGCTGAGTAAGAACTCTAAATTGTTAGATTCAGAAACCTTCCTGGGTGCATGGATGGGATTGGAAAGGAAATGCATTTGCTGTTATCTGTTACATTTATACTAAAAGGCTTATTTGTCACAGTAAAGTGAATTATGTTTTAGGCAAGGGCTCTTCATTTGGAAAAGAATTTATTTCTAATTAGCAGGATTATCTTATGTTCTGTGTCACATCTCTGGGATTTGATCCTCTGTGTGAGGACAGTAGTCATTACTATAACAATTTGTGGAAAGCTTACATGGTTGCTTCCTGTGTAGGAAGAGTTTTGAATGTGAATCCTGTTTCACATAGCAAGTTTTTCTCTGCAGTAGCAGAAGGTTCCTTTGTCACCTTTTTTTGTGAATTAAAAACCCCTGAATTTCAGTTACCTGTTTCTTG